GGATGACATGCAAATTTATGAAGCATTCCATATTTTTCACATCCCCAAAAAACAAACAAGCAAACAAAAAACAGAGGGAATAGAAGCACATACTGTTGAATGATGATGCACAGAGGAGATTGTAACCATTGCAATGAAATGATATGATGAGTGTAAAATTGATGTTCTCCAATGTAAACTATCACTCAATTCACAACAAAAACTTATCTTAAAAAAAAAAAAAAAGAGTGAGCAAGGAAGAGTAGAAGACTAGCATCAGTCAAGATCCCAGCATAAAGTAAATCACACACTTAAAGCAAGTTATATTATCATTTTTCATACTTATCCACATGTTCCAGACTCATGGAAACACCATGTGTTACAAAGTAGAAGTGCTCCATAGGGTTTTTGTTGTTGTTATTTCATTTATTTTATTTATTTTTACTTCAATTTTAATAGAAGCAAATTTCCATGCCTCTTTTTTTCTATAGTATCATGGGGTGGATTTGAACTGCCAACCTTTGGGATAGTTGTTGCTGTTGTTGTTAAGTGCTGTGGAGTTTGTTCTGACTCATAGCAACCTTGTGCAGGGTTTCTGAGGAGCTGGTAGGTTTCAACCACTAACCTTTTGTTTAGCAGTCCAATACTTAGCCAACAGAGTCACACCAGGATAGTAGTCAAGAGCCAATGATTTGTGCCAACTATGGAATTCAGGTTATATTGATGTTGTTGTTAGGTGCCACTGAGTCAGTTGTAGCTCACAGCCACCCCATGCACAGCCGAAGGAAACTCTGTCTGGATCTGAGTCATCCTCACAGTTGTTATGCTTGAAGCCATTGTTGAAGTCACTGTATCAGTCTTTCTCTTTCTCACTGACCCTCCACTTTACCCAATGGTGGTTGTTAAGTGCTCTCGAGTTGGTTCCAACTCATAGTGACCCTTCATAGGGTTTCCAAGGAGCAGCTTCTCAGTGTAAATCACCCACCTTGTATTTTACAGCCCAGTGCTTATCCTACAGCGCCACTCCAGAACTCCCCACTTTACATGGTTGTTGTTGCTAAGTGCTTTGGAGTAGGTTCTGACATAATGACCCTGTATAGGGTTTCTAAGGAGCAGCAGGTGGGTTTGAACTGCCGACCTTGTAGTTCAATGTCTAGTGCTGATCCTACTTTAAATTACTGTTAAGTGCCTTTGAGTCAGTTCCAACTCATAATGATTCTATATAGGGTTTCTAAGGCTGGTGAGTTTGAACCACCAACCTTGTGGTTGAAATCAACCTTGCAGTCGAGTACTTATCCTACAGTCCCATACCAGGACTCTACATTGTTGTTGTTGTTAGGTGCCATCAAGTAATTTCTAACCCATAGTGATACTCTATAGGGTTTCCAAGAAGCAGCTGGTGAGCTTGAAGTGCCAACTTTGTAGTTCAAATGACTTTGCAGTCCAGCACATTAACCCACAGCACTTCTGTAGGATTCTACATTAGGAGAATTTATTAATAAAATGGCCTTCCCTAAAGATTTACGACCTCAGAAATCCTACACAGCATCACTATGACTTGGAACTTACTCCATGACACTTGACAACAGCAAAACATGCCTTAAAAGACAAAGGGAAGGAGAGGCCTGGACCTTAGAAAGGAAAGTGGAGTAGAAGTACACAGGCAATCCCAGTCGACTCAGCAGAAAGACAACTAGGGGAATAATTAGTCCAAACTCACTCCTCTTCTGTCCTCTGAAATATTGTTGTATCTCCATTAAGCAAGCCTAAAGGAAGTAAAAGGACAAAAGAGCCAATAGTCACAATTCTTACAAGTCAATTTCCTAAAATCCATATCTGGGTGAAGACAGATAAAGCATTACTACTGGAGCAAATAAAATATATGATACAAAGAAATCCGAGGGTGCTAGATCAGGCAAGACATTGGGGGCTATTTCAAGGACTTTGATACTTACTCTGGCTGGAATTTATTACTAGCTTTAATGTTTTACTAGAAAGTAACTACTTTTACTTCTAGCTGGTGACAGTTGCAATTGACAAGATGGACCAATAATTCTTTCCTATTACTGCAGGTGCTTGTAGTCAGTAACAAGTTTGCTTCCCACAGATACTTCAAAGGCATCCTTTAGTTTGATTTTCTTCTCTTTTTGTACCTTTCTCCCCACCAAATTTCCAGATTAATCTTGGCAATGTTCCCTGTTTTAAAGTTCTCTTTCATACTATTGGATTGTTGGTGTTCTCAATGCTGTAAAGTCACTTCCAATTCAGAGTGACACCATGTAACAGAGTAGAATACCCACACAGGGATTTTTTTGGTTCTCATCTTTAAATAAACAGTCATCATGATATACTGACTACAAAATCCACTTCTAAGTTGTCAGGGCCCAGTCCTGGTGTGGCGCTATATAATAAGCACTGAACTATTAACTTCTCCTTGGAAACTGTACACAGGGTCTCTATGGATCAGAACCTACTCCACGACCCTTAACAACAATACATGGATTGCTTCTTAGGGCCTTGCATTGCTGCCTCATTAGGCTAAAAAGCCAATACACACTAGGGGTAAAACAGGAATAGCATCAATAGATAATAAAGCAGAAGGCCTCTTCAGACATGTAGCTGTATCACTTACTCAGTGTTCGCCACTTAATATGTGTTTACTTAATATCATTTGCTATTACTTGTTGTACAACTTTCCCCCAGGAAGTATTCTCTATCTGAGTGGTTGTAGTTGTGGTGGTGAGCCGTGGAGTTGGTTCTGACTCATAGAGACTCACAGTGCCACATCTTTCATATGAAATGGCTTCAAATGGTTCATGGGAAAATGCAATGAAAACATAATGGAAACTTTCCAGGAATTTTTGTGAAATTTCCTGGGGTGGTGCTGTTAAGTGCGATTAGGTCATTTCAAAAGGACTTTGTGGTCCAGTGCTTATATCCTACAGTACCACACTAGAACTCTTCATATATTATATTAAACCAAAGTTCATAGTCAAGTATAAACTAAATATGACTGGTGGTGGTGGTGGTTATGTGCCATGGAATTGGTTCCAACTCATAGCGACCCTGTACTGGGTTTCCGAGGCTGTAAAATCTTTATGGGAGCAGAAAGCCTCATCTTTTTCCCGCGGAACAGCTGGTAGTTTTGAACTGCTGACCTGGAGGTTCACAGTTACCAGACTAAAACCTATTTTAGATTTTAACCTAGAAAATGCTTAAGCAAGTTTAATGTTGAGTACTGATGGAGTCCTAGTGTGATGCTGTAGGATAAGAACTGGATTTGTAACCATAAAATCAGAGATTCAATTCCATCAACTGCTCCTCAGAAACCTTATCTAATATCATTACAAGTTGGGACTGACTCAATGGCACTTAACAACAACAACAACTACCACTGGTGTATATTAAAGTACAAAGTATCCTAAATATGGAATCAGATGACTTGGGTTGAGTCTAAACTTCATTATTTACTTGTCATGTAACCTAGCAAAGTTGACTTACTTGCTCTAAGCCTCTGGTCCCTCTTTTGTAAATGTAGAAATACTGTGTGATTTTAACACAACATTTAAATAAAACATTTTATTATACAAACATGACTTGTCATTTTAAAATGGTATTTCTGCTACCGGTCACATTGTTGTTGTCATTAAGTGCCTTCAAGCCAGTTATGACTCATAGTGACTCTGTACAGGGTTTCCACAGAGCATCTGATGAGTTTGAACTGCTGACCTTACATTTCAAACCGATCTTAAGGTTGAGTGCTTATCCTGTGGTGCCACACCAGGACTGCTGGTGTGGAGTCCAGGGCCACATTGTTGTTGTTAAGTGTCGTCAAGTTTGTTCCTACTCATAGCAACCCTGTATAGGGTTTCTAAGGAGCAGCTGGCTGGGTTTGAATAGTTGACCTTCAAGTTCAAGCCAACTTTGTGGTCCAGTGCTTATCCTACAACACCACAAGCTAAATTGTTATGTTTGAAAATATTAGCAGAGCTTCCAAGGAGTGACTGATGGGTTTGAACCACTGACCTTGCAGCTAGCAGTCTGGTATCACACCAGGACTCCTAGCATCATATAGGTTAATGATAATAAAACTACTGCATACTGAGTGTTTATTATCAGTAATGTCTTGTGCTGTGAGCTTTTTGTATACAATTAAAAAAAAAAAAAGCATTATTTTTAAGACTCAGCAACACAATGCTTAACATGAAATGAATGTTCAACAACAAATACCTGTTGAATCATTTTCTGTGTAAATTTTTGCAGAGAGTTATAGAAATAGAGTCCTATAGAATAAGCACTGGACCTCAAGGTCACTTTGAACTACGAAGTTCAGCCATTTTTAAATGACCTGAGTCAGAACTGATTCCATGGTACTTGAAAGATTGTTGTTGTTGTTGTAAAGTACTGTGGAGTCAGTTCTGACTCATAGTGGTGACCTTGCACAGGGTTTCCGAGGCTGTAAATCTTTACGGGAACAGACTACCTCATCTTTCTCCCACGGAACCGCTGGTAGTTTCGAACTGCCAACCTTGAGGTTAGCAGCCTAATTCGTAACCACTATGCTACCAGCTACTGTCACCATTTGATTAGATGAGGCCTAGGTGGCACTGTAGTATAAGTATTGGACTGCTAACCACATGGTGGGCAGTTCAAACCCATCAATGTTTACTGGGAGAAAGGTGAGATTTTCTGCTCCTGTACAGATTTACAGCCTCAGAAACCCTATACAGGGTAGCTGTGAGTAGGATACCAACTCAACAGCACTTAACAACAGAGGGGAACTTAAGTCATTTTCCTAAGAGGCAGATACAAAACTAAATTTAGGTTTTAATCTGCACAGCTTATTCTGCAACTCCCAGAAAGTTGCTTCCTTCAGTAACTTACTTTAAAATATTAATCGGCTGCTGCTTAATTATGATAATCAGGAATTAAAGATGATATTAACTAACTCCAACCTCCCCACTTTTTTTTGTGAGTCATAGATGGTGACAGTTTTTCTAACATAAAGGTGTTTTGTGCAGATCATCTGCAGTCGCATAGAGGAGTACAACAGCCTTCAGGCTTTATGCAATGGGACACCTGAGGGACCATTACTGCGTAATCCTGGAAACCATGACAAAGCCAGGACACCAAGGCTCCCCTCCTCATCTGATGTGGAATTTTGTCTGAGTTTGACCCAATATGAATCTGGATCCATGGATAGAACTGCTAATTTCAGCTTTAGAAACACACTGGAAGGTAATACTTCTTCTTTCAATAATATTCACTTTTTTTTTTTTTTCCTATTTAATGTTAAACTCTCATTCAAAAGCCCAACTCCAGGGATGTTTGGCAGTTCAGAATTTTCTGATTTGAGTAAGAACCTATGAGGTGTGGATAGAAGGATGAACAGATAGATGGCTACTACCCTTAGCAGAGTCTAGGCAGCATACCATAATTCAACACATTTCTAATGCTTCAGCAGACTAGACTGGCTCTTGTGTCTCTGCTTTATGTTCTTATCATTTGTATTATTAGCACTTCCCTTCTTTTCAAAACAACTCATTTTATACCTACACTTCCTCAGGCGTGGAATCAACCATATTTCTACAAAGCTATGATTCTATTTAGAGGGAAATGCTATCTGGGCACACATTTTGCTTATTGGAGAGGTACGTTTTATCTCAGAACTTGTACAGAGTGGGGATATGAGTTGTCTTGGCCTATAGGTATTACTCAAATGATTATAGCTGTTAGGAGAGCAAGATTATTAATGCAATTCTACATGTATTTATTGAAAACAAAACAACAACTTTTATGCTCTGTTTTTTTCAATAAACACATATAGAACTGAATTGTTGCTGTCAAATGAACCTTGCAGTATTACTGCTCTTTTTATCTTTTCAGCCTTCTGAGAGGTACGTAATGTACTACGCATGGAATAAAATGTCACAGTCATTGTTGGAATGGAGGAACAGTTGAGCTTTTGCCTACTGAAGTCATTTATGTAATTTCAGCTTTCCTTAGGTTCCAATGCTGAAATAAAGAGTGAAGATGTACAATTTATCAGTTGTGTAAAGAGAATTGATGTTGCCAATTAAAGCAAAGAAAAAGAAAATTGTTATAAAACAGCCTTCTAAGTATGCTGAATAGGTGATTCCATGGGTGGTTAAAACACTAGACTGCTAACCAAAGGTCAGCAGTTCAAAATCATCATTTGATCTATTTGGAAAGATGATATAGTTTGCTTCTTCAGTGATTTACAGCCCGGAAAATCCCATGGGGCAGTTTGACTCTGTCCTACAGGGTCATTAGGAGTTGCAGTCATCTGGAAAGCAGTGCATTTGGTTTGGGTTTATTGGTAGTTAGGTTCAAAGAAGAATCAATCCTCCCTTGTGCAAATATGTGAATATTGATGATATCCTTGATTTCACAATCAGGGATATTTTCAAGAGTAGTGTTGCAAAATGCTATTAACCCCTGGGAGTTTTAGTGAACTTGAGAAAGACAGTGGCCCCTGAATTAAACTGCCTAAGTTTGGATTCCAGCTCCACCACTTTCTATTTAATGTCTCTGGGCCTTAGTTTCTTCAAAGAAACAGACCATCTCACCTTTCCCCATAGTAAAGGAGCCCTGGTAGCATAGTAGATTTCAAGCTGGGGTGCTAACCAAAAACAAAATGTCAACAGTTCGAATCTACCAGTCACTCCATGGGAGAAAAATGAGGTTTTCTGCTCCTGTAAAGATTTACAGCCTCGGAAACCCTACAAGGTCGCTATGAGTTAGAACTGACTCCACTGCCCACCAACACCACCCAAAGATTTATATCCCTATACTGGTCGCTCTGAGTCAGAACTGATTACACAGCACACAACTACCACCACCATCATAAGGATAGTGTTAGTATATGAAAGGCACTTCTATAAATGGCTGTTACTGTTCTTAAGGGCCTAGTCCAACTCATAGCAACCTGTATAGGGTTTTTGAGAAGTGACTTGTGGGTTTGAAACACTGACCTTTTAGTTACCAGTCCAGTGTTTATCCTACAGACCCACGCCAGGACATCGGTTAGGTTATGAAGCTAAGACAACTTACTGACAACACAGCTGTCATTGATGAACTTCTCTAAAAGTATATTTAAAAGTTAAGTAGAGGCTCCTGAGAAAGACCAAAGAGCAGCTCATGATAAACTAGGTTTAGCGGAAATATAAATAAGCAAGCGAATCGGCAAAACATTTTTTCTAGAGACAGGTCCAGAGATATTTCAAGCGGAATTTTCAGGAGTAGACAGCATAAAGGTTCTGACAACCAAAAGGTAAAAAGGTACAGGATGAAGGAACAGCTTTAATTAATTAGTGTTTCCCCAAATCAAAATACCATGCCTGGTATGTATTAGGTGCTCAGGGAACACATCGGCTCCATATTATAAGCACTGGACTGCAAACCACAAGGTCTGCAGTTCAAGCCCACCAGCCTCTCTGCAAGAGAAAGGTGATGCTTTATACTCCCATGAAGATGGAAAGCCTTGGAAACCTTATACAGTATCACTATGAGTCAGAACCGACTCAACATCACTTAACAATAGAAAAAACAAGACCTACAGACTGACTAATGAATCAATGAATAAAAGAAAGCTATGTTGTTAGGTGCCTTGGACTCATAACAAACCTGTGCACGACAGAACACAACACTACCCAGTTCTGCACCATCTTCACAGTTGTTATGTTGGAGCTCGTTGTTACTGCTAATGTGTCAGCCCATCTCATTGGGCTCTTCCCTTTTTTCGATGATCCTCCACTTAATCAAGCATGATGTCCTTCTCCAGTAACTGGCCACTCCTTATAACATGTCCGAAGTATGCAAGACGAAGTCTCACCATCCTGGCTTATAAAAAGCATTCTGGATGTACTTCTTCCAATACAGATTTGTTTGTTCTTCTGGCAGTCCATGATATTTTAAAAAAATTTTTCTCTAACACCACAATTCAGATGCATCATGTCATGTGTCCAACTTTCACATGCATATGAGGAGATTGAAGATACCATGGCTTGGGTCAAGCACATCATAGTACTCAAACTGTTATCTTTGCTCTTGAAGACTTTTAAAAGGTCTTTTGCAGCAGATTTTCCTAGTACAATCCATCATTTAATTTCTTGACTGCTGCTTCCATGAGTATTGATTGTGGATACGAGCAAAATGAAGTCTTTGACAACTTCAATAATTTCTCCATTTATTATGATACTATTTATTGGTCCAGTTGTATGAACTTTTATTTTATTTCCATTGAGGTATAATCCATACTGAAAGCTATGGTCTGTGATCTTCATCAGTTAGTATTTTAAGTCCTCTTTGTTTCCAGCAAGCAAGGTTCTATCATCTGGTTGTTAATGAGTCTTCCTCCAATCCTCATGCCAAGTTGTTCTTTATATAATTCAATTTCTCACATTACTTGCTCAGCATACAAATTGAATAAGTATGGTGAAAGAACACAACCTGCAGCACACCTTTCCTAATTTTAAACCATTCAATATCCCCTTGTTCTGTTTGAACAACTGCCTCTTGGTCTATGTACAGGTTTCTCATGAACATAAGTGTGTGGAATACCCATTCTTCTCAATTTTATCCATAGTTTCTCATGATCCACATAGTCAAAAGCCTTTACACAGTCAATAAAGTACAAGTAAACATCTTTATGATATTCTCTGCTTTCAGCCAAGATCTATCTGATATCTGCAATGATAGCCTTCATTTCACATCCTCTTCTAAATTTGACTTGAACTTGTGGCAATTCCCTGCTGATACACTGTTGGAACCATTTTTAAATGATCTTGGAGTCCTGCTGTGCTGTAGGATAAGCATTTGACTGCAAGATCAGTTTGAAATGCAAGGTGAGCAATTCAAACCCACTAGCTAATCCTTAGAAACCCTATGCAGGGTTGCTTTGAGTAAGAACCTACTCAATAGCACTAAAACAACAACAAAAATTTTACTTGCATGTGATCTTAATGATACTGCTCAATGCTTTCCGCATTCCATTGGGTCACCTCTCTTTGGAATGGGCACAGATATGGATCTGGTAACTTTCTTTAAAATTCTCTGGCATAGTTGAAAGAAAGCTTTCATCATTAATAAATGCTATATTTTAAGCACAGCATAAGACAAAATCATTCTCAAGCTAAACTATGATTGTCTATATCTTCTTACATGATACTACCTTGTTTCTAACAATCCTCTTAAACAAATTTAATTTAGGATAGTGGGAAATTAATGTTGGAGGGGACTTCTTAATGTAGTTAAGCAACCCATTCAATGATGAGTTATCCAGTATGATAGTATTCTGAAGTGACCATTCAGGGATTGGAAACAACCTTCCTCACTTGGGAAAACTAGGAAATTTTTGAGAGATCCATTCAACTTAAAGGGCCCTCCATGAGCCTCATACAGTAGAAAACTAAGGAAGTACAAAGGTATCATAGATCGAATTGTGTCCCACCAAAATATGTGTCAACTTGGATATGTCATGATTCTCAGTGGCTTGCCAGTTATACAGTGATGTAGTATAATAATTATGTGATGACTCCCTATTATGTGATCTGATTTGACAAACCAGTAAGAGATCTGCAACAGCCTTAATCCCATTTGTTGTTGTTGTTGTTGTCAGGTGCTGTTGAGTCGGAACCGACTCATAG